TCCCCCGGTGCCTTCCTCGGCCCCACTCGGCCCGGCCTGGTCCCGGGTACCACCCACGGCCTCTTCTCCCCTCGGGGCAGCGGCGCCCCTTGCCCACAGGACCCCCCCGGGCCGTGCCCCAGGGCAGAGGGGACCTCCGAGCACCCACACCCCCCTCCCCGACTCCTGTCTCCGGCTTCATGGCTGCGGAGGGGCCCCCAGACCCGTCGCCCCGCACCCCAGGCACCGCCACCCCCCCCGAGGAGGCTGCTGTGGAGGGAGAGACCCCGCAGGACCCGTCGCAAAGTGGGTACCGGCCGGCAGCCCGCCTGCTCCCGCTGGCCAGCGATGTGAGGGACCGGGGGTTTCGAGGGCACAGGTGCCTCCATAACCTCTCCCGTTCCCCCCCCCGCAGCAGCCCAGGACAGCGCAGCCACACGCCAGGGCAGGAGCTGCTGCTCAGAGGAGTTCGTCCTCAACTACACCTTCACCGTCTGCGACCCCGAGCAGACAGGTAGCGAGGGGCCAGGGCTGGTGCAGGGGGGGCCGCAGCCCCGGATACGGCTTCAAGGTGCTTTTCGAAGGCTCGACCTGCGGTTAACACAGCTCCACCAGGGACGGGGCTGCCGGAAAATCCCTCCCGCCCACAGCCTGCCCCCACCTGGGGAGGGCAGAAGGCCTTTCGGGGACCCAAAGCTGCCTCCATGCCAACCCCCCCCCCAGCCCTTTCCCAGTCCCACTCCAGCTGCTGCTCCCAGGGAGTGCGCATGGAGCTGGTCACCGGCCACGGGTGAGGGAGGGGGTGGCCCCACAGCCCGACACCCCACCCTGTGCCGCAGGGACGGTGCTGGCGTGGCGGGTGGTTGAGTACCTGCAGGCGGTGACAGGGCAGAGCAGCGAGGAGGGCCAGCTGCGGGCACTGCACCGCATGCTGGACCCCGAGGCGGCTGGCGCGGCACTGGACTTGCCCACCTTCCGTGCCATCATGAGGGAGTGGATCGCGTCGTGCCAGCAGGAAGGGTCAGTGCCGGGGGACCAGGGCCAGAAGGCGGTTCCTCGTGTACCGGCCGGCACAACCGACAGTTCCCATCTCTCCAGGGGCCCACAGTTCGCCGAGGAGTGGGACGTGGCGGCAGGCGACCTCGGCCTAGTGCTGGCGGGTGGGTGTCGGCGCAGGAAGGGGCCAAGGGGAGGGAAGGGGGAATCGGTGCCCTGTGGGGCGGCATCGCCAGAGCCACAGTGGGGACGCTGGCGTCTGCCTCACCTCGGCGAGTGCTGTCTCGCCCCCCTCTGCCCCGACAGGGCGCCTCAGCCGCAGCAAGACCAGCAGCTGTCTCCTTCCTTCCTGCTGGGGAGAGCAGCCAGGTCGGCACACAGGCTGTGCCAATGATGGTGTTTGCGGAGGCACATTGGGCGCTGGCTCGCAGGCACAGCATCAGCAGGAGCCAATTTTTTTTGAAACCTGGGGACGTTGTTTTGGTGCTGCTGGCCCTGGCTCCCTCCTGACAGCAAAGGGGTGGATGGGCAGACAGATGCTGACAGCGTCAGGAAAAAGCCCGCCGTCCCCCGGCAGCACCACTGCCCGCTCGGGCAGCGCTGCTGGCGGGAGCGTGGTGCAGCCCCAAAAATTCCCTTGTGCCTGTCCTGCAGCGGGGGAAGGACGCACAGCCCAGGCAGCTGCACAGCTCGAGGGCGATGGCGGCAACACAGACATCATGAGCCCGTAAGTGCTGCCTCACCGGGGACCTAGTGCCGGCCCCAGCCACACTCTGCACCGGGGTCCCCAGCGATGCCAGCCCCAGCCTCAGCGTATCCCCAAACCAGCAGCACATCCCACCCTCACAGCACCGAAGCCACTGGCCTGCGCCGCCATGCCGAGCAGCTGGCCGCCCAGAACACCAAACTGCAGTGGGACGTCAAGCTGGCCGAGGAGCTCAACGTCCACCTGGCTGAGGAGACGACGCAGCTGAAGGCTCAGCTGCGATGGTGCGGCATCGGCGCAAGGCAGGGCTGGGGGCTTCCCCACACCATCCTTGCGCCCAGGGGTGTGGGGGCAGGCGGTGGGTGCTGGGGTGGCTGGCCACCCCCTTGCCAGTGGATGCTCACCCCCGGGGAGGGGGACGGTCCGGGCTGCTGGGCTCCGGGACCGCACCGAAGCGCCGGTGTCTGGCTGTCCCCGGTAGCAGCCAGCAGGCGCTAGAGCAGGCCAGAGCTACCGCCGAGGAGCTGGAGGACCTGAAGGCCGTGGCAAAGGGGCTGGAGGAGGAGAACAGCGAGCTCCGCCAGCAGACACGCCAGCTGGTGAGAGGCCCGGCCTCCTCACTCCCGGTGAGCCCCCGACTGCCACCGAGGTGCCAAGCCGGCACGCGGGGAACCAGCTCAGAGCCCCGCGTCTTCCCTCCCCAGGAAAAGGAGCAAAGGTGCCTGAGCTTGCAAGCCAACAACCTCCAGGAGGAGGTGAGGACACCACCGGGGGCCATGGGGAAGGGGGCTTGCCCCGGCAGTGCCGGGGTTGCGGTGAACACCAGCCCCTTTTGCCCCAAGCAGAACCAGCGGCTGGTTGCCGAAGGCCGTGGGCTGAGGCAGCGGATCCAGGCGCTGTCAGCCGAGATGGCCGACCTGGAGGTAAGCGGCGTTGGCGGCGTCCACACCGCCTGGCCGGTGCCAAGCACTTCGTTAAGCACTAACAAGGCGGGTGTCTGTCCCCCTGCCCAGCGGCAAGCACCCTGTCCTTGGGCAGCCCCACCGTCTCTGCCACCGTGCCGCGGCACAGCCGCCCGCGCACGCTCTGGCTAATGCGGCCTCTTCCCTCTGCCAGGCCCAGCTCAGCCGCTGCACAGTGCTCCTCTCCTCCCGGGATGTGGCCCTCGCCCAGGTAAGCACCACCCGGGGATGCACATAGCTCTGGCCGCCCCGCAGTCCCCTCCCGCAGCCGGAGACCCCCCCCAGACCCTGCGCCCCCTCACTGCCACCCCTTGTTCCGCAGGCGGGGTTGCGGGTAGAGGAGCTGACGGTGGCGCTGGAGGAGTACGACAGGGCGGTGCAGGTACGGCATACCCAGCCCCGTCATGCTCCTCGGCCGGGGGGCTGCAGCCCCCCGACCCCTCCTGGCCACAGGGAGCCCTGCGCCAGGCAGAGCCAGAGCCCCCGGGCCACAGGCAGACCCCCAAGGCAGCCGCAGAGCCCCAAGGCGGCCACAGCCCCCTGCCACAGCGGGAGAGCCTGTGGCCCCTCCGGCCACGGTGCAGGTGCTGACCGAACAGCCCATCCCGGGGGGCTGTGGGGAAGACCCAGCGCCCAGCAGCCGCACTGGCGACCCATGGCAGTGCCGGGTCCCACCAGTCCTGCCCCAGGGGATGGCAGAGCAGCGCAGAAAGTGCCTGAACACCCCGCAGCGTCCGAAAACCTCTTCTCCCCCAGGAGCTGCGTCTGGAGACGATGCGGCTCCGCGACCAGCTGGGCCGGATGCAGGATGCCTGGGCCATGTACGTCGTCGCCGCCTCCACCGGGCCAGGAGGGACGCGTGGGTGGGACAGCACTGGCACGCAAGCTCAGCTCCAGCTCCTCGGTGATAGGAAGTGCCAGCTGCGTTGCACAGCATCCTACTGGCTGGCAGCCTGGCTCCAAAAGCCTTAAGTGGGGGGGAAAAAAGGGGCAAATGGTGAAAACTGGGACTGGCAGAAAGGGGGGGGTCCACCTCTGCCTGCAGCACCAACCCCTGGCGTGAGACAGTGAGGCATGAGGGACCCCCGCTGCAAGGCTGCCGGCAGCATGCCGTGGCAAGCCACGGCAGGAGGTGCTCAGGGGCACCTGGAGCCGGGACACCGCAGCCTCTGCCCGACAACTGCCTGGCAGATCCCGCTCTGCCGGCCTGGCTCTGCTGCCACACCATTACATCGCCACGGGACGGGGGCACGTGGCAGCCAGCGCCGCGGCCGTGCGCCTCCACGGTGCAGCGTGCGTTTCTCCCACTGAGGGAGCCGGGGGGTTCCCCCAGGGCCACCAGTCGTGGGGCAGGATGGGGCCCCCACCCGGCGCAGCCGCCCAGGCACCCCCTCACGGTGCCTCACACCTCCTCTTCCTCACGCAGGCGGCCGTGGTGCCCACTCGGCGAGGCCGTCGTCCCAGCACAGCCGCTCAGCGCCGAGATCGCAGCAACGTGCCGGGTAAGGGTGGGGGCACGGGGGTCCTGGCGAGGGGCACCCCAGCCGCTGACCGCCGGCCCATGGCTCTGCCCAGGAGACGGGGGAAGCAGAGGAGGACGCGGGGACGGCGGCGCCCGGAGCCCTGGGGGGGGACGGTGAGGAGCCGGCGGAGCCGCAGCAGTGCCCAGGCCCCAGTGAGAGGTAGAGCCAGGAGCAGGCAGCGCTGCCATGGCTCGGGCGGCCAGCCTGCGGCTAACGGCCCCTCGCTCTCCCTCCCAGCAGGCCGCCACGGACGCTGCTGGCCCTGCCGTCGCCACCGGCGCTGCTGGCCCTGCTGCTGCTGCTGGCCCTGCTCTGCCTCCTGCCCCGCCATGGGCTGGGGCTGCCCAGTGGCATGGCCGCCTGGCCCCAGTTCCAGCTGCGGTACCGGAGACCCCCACCCCTGTGAGATCCCCGCCACAATAAAGACCCGTTGGGCACCACGGCTTCAGTCCGCTGCGACTTCCCTAGTCCATCCCAGTCTGCCCAGCCTCTTACCAGCCCATCCCAGTTCTCTCCCAGGTCCCCCGTGCCTCTTACCAGCACACCCCAGTTCTCCCAGTCCCAGACAGGAGCATTTGCAGCACCATCTCAGGGCTCTTTACACTGCCAGCGGGATCAGGGTGGGGGAGTCCCCCAAGCTAACCAGCCCCCCCCCAGCCCCAGCCTCATTAGTGGGTGCCCCTGGCCCGAGTCAGCACGTGAGTGGGGGCAGCCGCAGCGCCTCGTTAGCTGAGCCCTCACAAGGCTAGGGCAGCTGCTGGGGGGGGACACACCTCAAGAGGAATTTTGTGGAACCCCCCCCAGCCCTGTGTTCCCACGGTGGGTCTGGGGTGGGTTTGGGAGTGCAGGGCCCCAGGGATCCCCCCAGCACTGCCATCTCAGGGCGCACTGGGGGTGCATGAGGGGTGCAGGGGGCTCAGGGTGGGCTGGGGGTGCTACAGGCTCCACCCCCCCCAAACCAGGCTCAGAGTCAACGTCTCAACATCAATTTTATGGGCCCTGTGGGGGGGCCGGGGGGGGGCCGGGGCTCCCCAGTCTCTCCGTGGCTCTGGGGGGTCCCGTCACAGCCCCCAGAGGGGCCCCCCTGCGGCCCCCACGGTCCCTCTGTGCTTCCAGGGGCGGATCCGGGGGGTCTCCATCTCTCCTGCAGTCCCGATCCTGTGGCACCAGCATCTCAGGCCAGCCTGAATTGGGAGGGGAGTGGGGGGTGAGGACCCAGTCATCTGGGCAGCCCCCCCCCAGGGACCCCGGTGACGGGGGACACCCCCCAGTACCTGAGTCCGTCCCTGGCTCCCCGTCTCGGCCACTCAGGTCCCGTCCTGCTCGGATGCCGATGTCCCCTGCAGGGGCTGGGACGGGGGACGACCCCGCACCCCCAGTGCTCCCAGTGCCCCCATCCCAGTGCCTCCTGCACCCCCGGCGCACCCCCAGAGCACTGCTCCCTGTACCCCCACCCTCCTCCCCAGC